CGGGGGTGGGGGGGGGGCGGAAGCAGGGGGTAGATAAACCCTAGGTATATTGTAGAAAAACTTCTCAAACAGAAGAAGTAAGGAACATCTTACAGAGTCAGAGGAAAAGGACACTTATCTTCAAAGGAATAACAAAAAAGGTTGATTGTTGGTTTATCAACAGAAAAATACAGGACAGAAGACACTAAAATAAATCTCTCGTGAGGGTTTTGGGACCAAAACTTGCAAGCCTTAGCACAATGATTTTAAACTTCCTAAGTGTATGTTAGTTTTCTTTAGCTGTCATAACAAATTATTACCAACATAGCAACTTAACGTGGATAATGCCCAATTATTACACACAGTTCTTCTTCTGAAAATGTGTGTATACTTAAACGCTATGCTATAAATCAATCATAAAAATAGAAAACATCTCTATTGAAATGGACAAAATTTTATGAAAAGACAATTTTCAGAAGAAAACTGAGTAGCCAATAAGTAGCTTATTCAACTGAATTCAATTGATTTCCATCAGGGGAAATCAATTTAAAATAACAGTGAGATTTTTTTGTGCCCATGATACTGAAAGTATTAAGAAATATGAAAATTTCAAGTCTTGGGGAGCAAGAAGAGGGAATAGAACATGCATAGGCAATGGTTAAGCATGCAATGACATAAATTATTACAAGTATTGTGAGAAATTCTTGGGGTTACAGTTTAAGCAAAATAGGAAATAGGGAAAAAAGAAACTAAAGACGCTAATAGATTACTTAGGACCTTATTTCCATGCTGTAACACTGGTGTTTTCCCTAGAAAGAAATGGTCAGACTTTGAAGGATTTACTCTTGTATGTACAAAGATTGCTCTAGAAGCAAAATGTTGAATGGTTAGGAGGGATGGGAGCAAGACTGAAGAAACCAGTTGGGACGTCATTACAATATGACACAGAAGTGATGAGAACATAATGAGGACAGCAGCAGTGAGGATGGAAAAAAGGAAATATATAGAGAAGATACTAAAGAATAATACTAACAGAATGTTGTCACAGATAAGGCAAGAAGGATAAGAGACCAGGATAGTAACAGAAGTCTCAGGCATGGCTGATGGGATGAATAATGATGAAACTCACTGGAGTAGGGTTCCTACTTTTCTAAAATGATGAGTTCAGTCTGGGGCATGTTGGTTTAGAGGTTCCTTTGGTGTCTTCTCTTCTTTGGGGTCAGTTGTTTCTGTGGATCTGAAGCTCAGCAGATTTAGATTTAGCAGTCATCAGTGTGTTAACGTTACTGAAAGCCCTGTTCATGGGTGATATCTCTTGTATAGGGTGTGATGGAATAAGAGGATCAGAACCCCAGGGACTAACATCTGAGAGATGGGTGAAGGAAGAGAAATCTGAAAAAGAGACTAAAAAGGAACAACCAGACTGGTAGAAGGAAAATAGTGACCTTGGGGAAACATGGCGAATAGAGACAATCTGGCAGAGGCAAATACCACAGAGACATTAAGACAGATTGAGTTGGTGGGAATGTAAATTTAACCACCATAGGAAACAGTGTGGAAGTCCCTCAAAAAATTAAAAACAGACCTATCATATAATCCAGCAGTTCCCCTTTTGTATATTTATCCAAAGAAAGCAAAACCTCTAATTCAAAAAGGTATATGCACCACCATGTTCATTGCAGTATTGTTTACAATAGCCAGGAAACTAGAAACAACTTAAGTGTCCGTCAATGGATGAGTAAATAAATGAGTAAATAAAATGAATCAGTAGTAGTAGTAGCAAATAAAATAAATAAAATGAATGAGTAAATAAAATGTGGTATAAATATAAAATGCAATATTATTCAGCTATTAAAAAATTAAATTTTGCCATTTGCAACAACATGGATGGGTCTTGTGGGCATTATCCTAAGTAGAATAAGCCAGAGAAAGACAAATACCATATGATCTCACTTACCAATGAAACCTAAAAAAAAAAAAAAGAACTGATAGATACAGAGAATAGATTGGTTGCCAAAAGCAGGAGTAGGGGGCGACAAAATGGGGAAAGGAGGGCCACAAATTTCCATTCATAAAACAAATAAGTCATGGGAATATAATGTACAGCATGGTGACAATAGTCAGTATTCAGTAACACTGTATTGTATCAAAAGTTTTTAAGAGAGTAGATCTTAAAAGTTTTTATCACAAGAAAAAGAATTGTAGCTATATATGGTGATCAACATTAACTAGACTTATCGTGATCATTTTGCCTTTATGTACAAATATTGAATCATGTTGTATACCCAAAATTAATATAATGTTATATGTCAATTATACCTCAATTTTAAAAAAGACAGACTGAAAAATTACCACTTAATTCACCAACTGAGAAGGCATTGATCATCTTGTTCTAAGGCAGAAATACACTGTTGTGGGTTGAGGAAGTGAGTAAGAGATGAATTCGTGACGTCGTCTTTCCTAAGGCTGGATTGTGATGGCAGTGTGAAGTGGAAGAGGATGGTGAGAATTGTGTTTTTCTGTGTCGAATGGTGTAGCACTTGGCAGATATGTACATACTTGGGGGGAGAGAGCCAGTTTGAGGCAGAGGTTAGTGTCAAAGGAAGAGAAGGAATGGGACTGAAACACCAAAGCAGCCGGAGGCGGTGGCAAGCCAAGTTTCACTTCCGATGGAGAAGGGTTCCTCCTGCACTGAAGAGGTGGCTGGGAGGAAGAGGTCACTGTGGCCAGGAGTGAACCTCTTTCTAAGGCGAAAGCGGAAAACACACTTTTCTCTGCTGGCCCTATCTTCTTAGATCATTTTCTGACAGTAAAGCTGGAGACATGAGGCCGGGATTTGAACATTGTTCAAGGAATGACAGAATGTGATGGCTCAGTTCACGATTACAATTTGCTGCCCATGACTAAGGAGCCAAGTGTGGTTGGAGACCACTGATTCATCTGGTGTCAGTAATCTGTGCTCTGTGTGTGTGTGTGTGTGTGTGTTCTAACAGTGCTCAACCATCACGTTGTATGCAAGATTTGAAAATTTTGAATGATTTGACCAAACCTCTTTGAGAATTTACTAGCTGAAAAAGAACGAGCACTAACATTTATTGAATGACCTTAGACATGGTAATTGATGTCTCTAAATCTGTTTGCTTATCTATGTGCGTGCATGCTAAGTCACTTCAGTTGTGTCCGACTTTTTTCAACCCTATGGACTATAGCCCACCAGGCTCCCCTGTCCATGGGATTCTCCAGGCAAGAATACTGGAGTGAGTTGCCATTTCCTCCTCCAGAGAATCTTCCCAACCAAGGGATTGAACCCATGTCTCTTATATGTCTCCTGCATTGGCAGGCAGGTTCTTTACCACTAGTGCCACCTGGGAAGTCCCTTCCTTATCCATAAAGTGGGATTAAAAATAGCACCTATCTCACTGGGTTGTTGTGAGAATTAAATGAGATTGCAGTATTTCTCAAATTTTTGACAGTCATCTTCAATAAGAAATATGTAGCCTTATTGTGACAATTAAATGAGTAAGTACCAGTCCACAATACCTTCACCAAAATACATGTTTCCAAAGTCAGAATTTGGAGGACTTTAAGAAAGTAATATAGTGACTAGAACACATATGACATAACCCCCCAAGAGGGCTGAGAGAAGTATCCAAAACCAAGCGGTAATCTTTCCACAGTCAAACTGATGAGTAGTCACACAAAGCATGAATGAAGACTATAACTAACCTTGCCTCAGTTTCAGATCAGATTCTGCCATTAAAGGAATTCAGTCAAATTTTGCTTTAAATATTTTTTTGGCTTTTTTTTTTTTGAAGAAAACTTTTAGTTTTTCAGATAGCTTTGGATTTTGGAATTATGGGAATGAAATTATAGCTATATAGAAATATAATATTTTAAAAGTCCCTGGCATGTCATAAGTATGGTTCATATTATTGGTTTCATTTTAAAAATGATGACCCTAACCCACCAAAGGAAACTCATGATGTACTAATAGGCTGTGACCCACACTTTGAAAAATGCTTATATATAAATGGTTAGCCTGGTCCCTGGTACATGCTAAGATCTCAACATGTATTAGAAAAAATACCATCTTATATTTATACATTGTTTTAAGTTTGCAGAATTCTTTTAAGCACATAGTTGCTATTCATGTTCACAGTAACTTTATCAGAAATAAAATAGTTTAACTTTCCTCTTGACCTACCTGAGAGTTTTATGTCTCAGTGGTTTTGTGAAGAACAGTAAGAAATTTAACTAATAATAATTACACCTCCCTATGGCATCTTTGGACTTCGTAGGTAGCACTAGTGTTAAAGAACTTATCTGCCAGTAAAGGAGACTTAATGAGATGCAGGTTCGATCCCTGGGTCAGGAAGATCTCCTGGAGGAGGACATGGCGACCCACTCCCTTATTCTTGCCTGGAGAGTCCCATGGACAGAGAAGCCTGGTGGGCTATAGTCCATAGCATTACATAGTCAGGCATGACTGAAGCAACTTAGCATGGCACAGCATAGCATCTTTAGGGCTTCTCTGGTGGCCCAGTGGTTAAGAATCTGCCTTGCAATGCAGGAGACACAGGTTCGACCCTGGGTCAGGAAGATCCTTTGGAGAAGGCAGTAGCAACCCACTTTAGTATTCCTGCCTGAAAAATCCCATGGACAAAGATGGTGGGACAGAAGAATCCCATGGGCTACATCCATCCATGTCCTGAAAGAGATGGACATGACTTAGCAACTAAACACCAACAATGCCATCTTTACCTTGATACCTGAAGTAGTTTTTAAACTTTTCTTTAAGTATTTTATGTAAAAATAATTCTTTTCCACAGATAAACGTGGAGAACTAAGAAATCACACCATTTGCTTAGGGCACTGAATACACTATTTCTACATGGAATTTGTCCAACAGATTACACTGCTCAGCAACAACTTCCAAAGCATATTTATTTTTCTGTTCTTAAAGTGAGCTAAAGACCGGCTCCTCTGAATGCAATTTATAATCTTTGCATTTTATTTACTAGTGCTCTTGGAGACATTAAAATAGCTGAGGTGAATGTCAAGGGTTTATTCGTGAAGCTCATTAACTCTTCTCCCGACAAAGAGCTGGAAATTGGAAATCATACGCTCCAACAAAATGTGGATGGACGAGCAGTCTCTCTCTACCGATTCCTTCCTGGTATCATAATGCAGGCCAATTCCACAGTAACAGTGAGTATAATATATAAATACTATGAACTAGAATTGTACAGGAAAAACTTCATTTCCCCAGTCAGACTGTGGTTAGAACTGGTGGTTTCTTTGATCTCTCTGTTAACTGTGATTTTTGGGTTGTTGTTAGTTAATTGTGTCACTTTGTCCATCTCTGAAAATAAATTCTCATAATTAAATTTCTGTAGCTTTCTTCAATTTGGTGTACAATACTTTGTATTTTAATGCTGTAACTATCAAAATGAAATATCTAATTTCTTAAAACTAAGCAGCATAGTCTTTAAAAGAAAGGAAAGAGAAGATTTGCTTAGGTGATGCTAAAGAGCTCCTCCCTCTTTCTCAGGCATCCCTCTAAACTACATACACTAGCTTTGCAGTTATACTACTTGACATTACAGATTATTGTTGTTCAGTCGTTAAGTCATGTCTGACTCTTTGTGACCCCATGGACTGCAGCACACCAGGCCTCCCTGCCCCTCACTATTTCCCGGAGTTCACCCAAGTTTGTGTCCATTCAATCGGTGATGCCATCCAACCATCTCATTCTCTGCCAGCCCCTTTTCCTTTTGCTTTCAATCTTCCCCCAGCATCAGGGTCTTTTTCAATGAGTCGGCTCTTCGAATCAGGTGGCCAAAGTATTGGAAATTCAGCTTCAGCATCAGTCTTTCCAACAAGTATTCAGGGCTGATTTCCCTTAGGATTGACTGATTTGGATGTCAGTGTATTTTAAAGACCTCTGGGACTTCCCTGGAGGTCTAGTAGTTAAGACTTCACCTTCCGATGCAGGGGGTGTGGGTTCAATCCCTCATCGGGAAGCTAAGATCCCACATACCTTGAAGCCAAAAAACCAAAACATGAAACAGAAGCAACATTATGCCAAATTCAATAAAGATTTTTTTTAATCTTAAAAAAAAGAAAGCTCACCTGTTTAAAAGATGTGTTGCAATAACTCTTACAGTTATAAAACTACATTGAACTACACTGGCAATTGTCATTAACAAAATCTTTTCTTACAGGTCTGGACAGCAGCATCTGAAGTAAAGCATCAGTCACCATCTGATTTTCTTTGGAAGGAACAAGACAGGTTTAACACAGCCCCAAACTGTACAACAATCCTGTGCAAACCTAATGGTGAAGTCAGTGTCCAGTCCTTAATAATGGTTTTTAATAAGAACGGATAGCTCTGCGTGTGTCCCCCTTTCCCCTCTTAGCTTGCTCAATGAGTTTTTCTTCCTTAAAAGCTTGGAAAGAACCATCACTAACTGTCATAACATGTCAGGCAAATCAGTAGCAGCCTCTCTTCAGTGCCAAAGAGGTGCTTACAGTTTGGCAAAGATAATTTTGATATCCTGTATTTCTAGAAGCGACTTTAAGTTTCAGAATCAAGCATGGATTTTATTTATGGCATTTAGCCTTCTCCTGAAGAGAAGGATGAGAAAGGAAGGGGAACTACATGTGGGCTTTTTTCTATTAGTTTCTTCATTTCTCAATTGCTTGTTGAGCCCTGGGAATAGGGCTGTGATAAGTGTGATAAATGTTGGGAATATAATACAGGTCAAGATTCCTATTCTCAGAGGACTATAGGCTCTAACTTGTAGAGACTATATACTTTATTTGGGCTTCCCAGGTGGCGCTATTGATAAACAATCTGCCTGACAATGCAGGAGACGCAAGAGATGCTAATTCAATCCCTGGGTGGAGAAGATCTGCTGGAGGAGGAAATGGCAACCCACTCCCAGTATTCTTGCTTGGAAAATCCCATGGACACAGGAGTCCACTGGGTAGCAAGGAGTTGGTCATGACAGTGACTAAGCACACACACATTATACTTTATTCACTGTAAAATTAAGTCTACTAGAAATAACTCTATGATTCAGGAGGGAGGGGATATATGTATACCTATGGCTGATTCATGTTGAGGTTTGACAGAAAGCAAAATTCTGTAAAGCAATTATCCTTTCAATTAAAAAATAAAAAAAAGAAATAACTCTGTATAACTCATTACCAATATTCTGCAATTTTATACTTTCACTCTGCCTTTTTTGGTATAATATTAGCCTAAATATATACCCCAAAACATGCCAGTAAAGTATAAAGGTATCCTTTTTCACAACAAAAAATTTACTCCTTTCTCAAAGCCATTCTCTAGATTTTTTAATCTCTACCTTTTCTTACCCCAAGTCTAAGTTACTATGTCCTATAATTACTAATTCACACAATATATTGATCAAAATCTATTTCTGAGTTTCTTTCTTGCTGCATTATACCTGACTATCCCTTCAGGGTTCAGTTCGGTTCAGTTCAGTCACTCAGTTGTGTCTGACTCTTTGTGACCCCATGAATCGCAGCACGCCAGGCCTCCCTGTCCATCACCAACTCCTGGAGTTTACTCAAACTCATGTCCATCCAATCAGTGATGCCATCCAGCCATCTCATCCTCTGTCGTCCCCTTCTCCTCCTGCCCCCAATCTGTCCCAGCATTAGGGTCTTTTCCAATGAGTCAGCTCTTCACATGAGGTGGCATGAGGTGGCCAAAGTACTGGAGTTTCAGTTTCAGCATCTGTCCTTCCAATGAACACCAGGACATCCTTTAGAATGGACTGGTTGAATCTCCTTGTAGTCCAAGGGACTCTCAAGAGTCTTCTCCAACACCATAATTCAAAAGCATCAATTTTGGGGGGCTCAGCTTTTTTCACAGTCCAACTGTCACATCCATACATGACCACTGGAAAAACCATAGCCTTGACTAGACAGACCTTTGTTGGCAAAGTAATGTCTCTGCTTTTTAATATACTATCTAGGTTGGTCATAACTTTCCTTCCAAGGAGTAAGCATCTTTTAATTTCATGGCTGCAATCACCATCTGCAGTGATTTTGGAGCCCCCAAAAATCAAGTCTGTCACTGTTTCCACTGTTTCCCCATCTATTTGCCATGAAGTGATGGGACCGGATGCCATGATCTTAGTTTTCTGAATGTTGAACTTTAAGTCAACTTTTTCACTCTCCTCTTTTACTTTCATCAAGAGGTTTTTAAGTTCATCTTCATTTTCTGCCATAAGGGTGGTGTCATCTGCATATCTGAGGTTATTGATATTTCTCCCAGCAATCTTGATTCCAGCTTGTGCTTCTTCCAGCCCAGCATTTCTCATGATGTACTCTGCATATAAGTTAAATAAATCCCTTCAGGGTAGATCTTGCTAATTAATTAAGAGCCATTTAATGTCTTTCTATGAGAACACAGAGTTAGCGTTAGATGGAGTGAACACTCTTTAGACGTAATTTGCAGGCTTTACTCACTTATTGTCTCATATTTCTATGGGCACAAACTGAATTCTATAATACTTCCAGTAGTTGTCACTGACAGGGAAAATAAGGTTATGTTATCTAAGTTATTTACTCAACCTCATAAGAAATCATTAGCAGAACTCAGGTTAGGACAAAGGCATTCTTGTTTCAGACCTTTCACCACATTTATCCACCCATTTAGCCATTATGCAAACATTTTGGGCTTCCCTGGTAGCTCAAGACAGTAAAGAATCTGCCTGCAATGCGGGAGACATGGGTTTGATTCCTGGGCCGGGAAGATCCCCTGGAGGAGGACATGGCAACCCACTCCAGTATTCTTGCCTGGAGAATCCCGTGGAGAGAGAAGCCTGGCGGGCTACAGTCCACAGGGTCACAAAGAGTCAGACACTTTGTGCATACAGTGTCCCAGGCACTGGGTATTGAACCAGACAGACAAGGTCCCTGAGCTCCTGGAAGGCACATTTTAGTGAGCTGTCCCTCCTTGCCACTGAATTACACTTGGCATTTTGAGTTTTCCTTTTACTGATTGGTTTGATCTACTTGGCACATATAGGTTCAGACAATTTCTTCAGGGTGATGTAAACACAAGTAATTTTGTCTGCTAGTATAAGAGTGAAACTGGTGGATTCATACAGGAAATGTTTACATATATTTATTATCTGCCAAGCTTTGTGCTAGAAGCTGGGAAACAAACGTAATTGTTGCATGATTCTTGTCCTCAGAAAATTCATGAGTCTGGTAGTAAAAATTGATATGTAACAATAAATAATTGTATTACTGTGAAACAATGCTTTAGTAGAAGATGGTTCACAGAGTGTGGCAACTCAGATTAGAGAATTCAGCCCTGTAAAGGAGAGCATCAAGAAAAACATGAGAGCTTAAAGCACTGGTTTTGAGTCTGCAGATGAGAGACGTTCACCCAGTTGACTTGAATCATAGTGTATTGCCCCTTCCTTTCCTCCTCTGTAACTCACACCTCCCCGTGGCCTCTCTTATTTTCCAGTACTTCATTGCTCCCTCAAGCCATGGGGCTTTGCACATGCTTTTGCCTCTCCATAGACTCTTTCTTTCTTCCTCTACTTACCTATTAATTCCTACTACCCTTCAGGCTTCAGCTCAGCCTTTTTTTTTAAGGTCACATCCTATTGGAATTTCCACCCCATGGTAAAGCAATCAGCATTGTTTAATTCAAATAGAAAATGTTTCAATTAAATACACTGAGGTGTGACATTGTCAATCTAAAAACCCTAATATAAGCACAAAATACTCCCCCTTTTTTTAAACAACAATTAATTCCTGTTCTCACCTCAGTGATATTGGATCTCACTATCTGCAGTTGCCAGACAAATTTTCCTTGAAATGATAGGTTGCTACATTCCCATAGACATGCTGAAAAACAAACAGATCCAAGCTTTCTTTGCAATCCTGGAATTGTTTTCTGTTGATATAACTTGTGTGTTGGAAATAATTCATATCTTGTGGGGAAAGTTACGGAACCTAAAATCTGACTAAAAAAATAGTAGACGATGACATAGATTAGAATAGGTCCTGAGTCTGGACTTGAAAAATACTTAAAAAAAAAAAAAGTGTGGCAAAGAGAAGTTATATCGTTGTTCAGTCACTAAGTCGTGTCCAACTCTAAAAATAGAAACCCAAAATAAAGTATGACAGACTACTTTTTGGTTCATCACTAACTTGGCAATGGTTAATATTCAATCAGATACAAACAATTCTGGTGTAATATAAAGGTAGATTTAGTCCTCTGTCATGAGTTTATGTAAGGTTATATAGTACAATTACTATGATTCTGAGGCTATTGATTTTTAAACAAGGCTAGATATTTTTCACCAACCACATTGTTGCCCTATATGATTTGTAGCCTCTACATTACATGTTAAACATTTACTAGGCATCTCATATGACTGAATGCCTTGAATTTTCCCAATACATTGTTCTCAGAGAAAATATGGAGCAGTGAATTTCGGTGCTGTAGCAACTCATGAAGGGGTGTTTATATGTGCATTATCTCCTTTGATTCTCAGATTATTTAAGCATTTTACAAAGGAAGAAAATGGGGCTTGGAAAGTTAAATGGCTTTCTCAAGGTCACATGACTGGCAAAATGGCAAAAGTAAAATAAAACCAGACGTTCCAACTCCACAAATTTTTCTGTTAGGTACTAAAAATAGCCCATAAGGTTCGTATGGTCAACATTTCAGAAGTGAGATTAAAATATATCACTTATTTGGCCACATCATCATGGTCATTATCAGCAGATATTTTTAAGTCCCTTATAATACAGGAAGAAATGAAATATTGCTCTTGGCTAGGAGAGGCGTACAATCTAATTGAGAGAGATTTCACTCAAAAGATGATTAACATATTTTCCACAAAAATATCTATTTGAGCTGCAAAAGGGGAGAATCCCTAACTGATGACCTGAACCAAAAGTGGGGTTTCCTGCTGTGATCTATGAAATTAAATTAAAAAAAAAATCTTTTATCTTTCTCTTTCTTTGCCTAGCTGAACTTGCCGTGTTGTCTTTATGTGTGTTTAACTTATCAAGGCAAACAGAGGATTTTTCAATGGATACAACATCAATCCAAGCATCTATAATTTTATAAACTAAAAACAGATCACAAGAACAAGTAGATCAAGTAGATCATTTGGGTACACTGCAGTGCTTAACTTTCTCCGTTGAACAAAGACATGGTTATCAGTCCCTACACATGATTTTTCTGAATGATTTTTGCACATATATGTTGTATACATGCCACATATTCAGGAAACCGAAACAAACTGCTCACCTAGTATTCTAGCTTGGAGAACGTGGTTTCCTCTTCGTGTCTTTAGTTTTAACACCCATTTTCCCATCTCAAATAATATATGTATATATATGTATATGTTTGTGTGTGTATATGCTTGTCACTCAGTTGTGTCTGACTCTTTGTGACCCTATAGACTATAGCCCACCAGGCTCCTCTGTTCATGGAATCCTCCAGGCAAGAATACTAAAGTGAGTAGCCATTCCATTCTCCAGGGGAGTTTCTCCAGGGGTCAAATCCAGGTTTGAAGATGAAACCCTGAATTGTAGGAAGATTCTTTACCATCTAAGGTGGATTCTTTACCATCTGAGCCACTAGGGAAGCCCATATTTATATTTTCTAATATATATTTTATATTTATACTAATTTAACATATAATATATTTAATATTGTTTCTGTTCAGTCACTGAGTCATGTCTGATGCTTTTACGACCCCATGGACTCTAGCCTTCCTGGCTCCTCTGTCCATGGGATTCTCCAGGCAAGAATACTAGCGTGGGTTGCCACTTTCTTCTCCAGGGGATCTTGCCAACCCAGGAACTGAACCTGTATCTCCTGCCTTGCAGATGGATTCTCTACCAATGAGCCACCAGGGAAGCCCCGTATTTAATATATATATATTTAATATTTATATTAAATTTATATATAAATTATTATATAAATATATGATATGCAAAACATAATTAACTATTAAAATTTAACTTATTAATATTTTTGCACAGTTCCTTTTAATTATGAAATTCAGTAACTTGACTGACTCTCATAACGCCAACATATAGCCACCACCTTCCCCATTTTACATATGAGGACACATTCCAAGGGAGTAAGTGACTAACCTGCCTGAGGAGATGCAGCTTGAAATTTTCAGAGTTGGAAACTAAGGCAGGATGTCTCACTATAGCCTCATTGTGTGTTTCACTAATCATTTTACAGTACATAAATGACATTAGAGTTTGACTGAAATTTTATTGCAATAAGTCTGAAGTGAAGTGAAGTGAAAGTCGCTCAGTCGTGTCCAACTCTTTGCGACTCCATGTACTATACAGTCCATGGAATCCTCCAGGCCAGAATACTGGAGTGGGTAGCCTTCCCCTTCTCCAGGGGATCTTCCCAACCCAGGGATCAAACCCAGGTCTCCCACATTTCAGGCAGATTCTTTACCAGCTGAGCCACAAGGGAAGCCCAAGAATACTGGAGTGGGCAGCCTATCCCTTCTCCAGGGGATCTTCCCAACCCAGGAATCAAACCAGGGTCTCCTGCATTTCAGGCAGATTCTTTACCAACTGAGCTATCTGGAAGCCCTCAATAAGCCTATGTCATTTAGAAAACCTAACTCTAATAGTATTTAATATTAATGAATCATTTTTGTTAGGCTGTTGCCTGGTACACTCCCATTCACTGGAAGCAAGCGTGGGAGAAATTAGAGACTGACATCGAATTTGACAGATGCTCAATAATAAGTACAACACCTCAAAGGCACATGTTTCACTGGCCAGCAGTTGCAACTACAATGAAAGAAAAACGAGATCAGTGTAAGAGAGAGTCCTCAAAATGGCAGGTGGAACAAGTTCAAGCTTCTCTTAAGAGGTAACAGTTGCTCTTTTTTTATTGCATTTTTGGCTGTGCTGGGTCACTGTTGCTGCTCAGACTTTTCTCTAGCTATGGAGAGCGGGGGTACTCCTTAGTGGTGGTGCCAGGCTTCTCGTGGTGGCGGCTGCTCTTGTTGCAGAGCACGGGTCCTAGGGCACGTGGGCTTCAGTAGCTGCAGCACATGGCCTCAGTATTTTCTGTTCCCACGCTCGAGAGCACAGGCTCAATAGTTGTGTCACACTGGCTTAACTGCTCCTTGGCATGGGGCATCTTGCCAGATCAGGAATGGCATCCATGTCTCCTGGATTGGGAGGCAGATTCATTACCACTGAGCCACCAGGGAAGTCTGCTTGATTTTTTTTTAAATTGAGTCCTTCCCACAATTAATAAGGGTTGAACAGGTGGGAATGACTGGTTGGCAATGTGATGAACAGATAAATCGATAAAGACAAAAAAAAACCACCCTCCTATTTTGAATGGGACCATAAAAACCAGAAGAGCTTTTATGTTTTGAAACACAAAAACACAGAGCAAGCAGAGACACACTCATGAGAAAATAAAGGCTGGCAACTTCCTAGTTGATATTAAGACCCCCTCTGGTTGTTTCATTTCATAACAGCCCTGCTGTTAGCGGTCAGGCCAAGGAGCAGTGCAGAGAGGAAGTCATCATGCTTTTCATAGTGCTTAGGTGGAGGAAGATCTGCATCATCTAGAACTTTCATCTTGGATCAAGGGCTGGCTGTGGCTGAAAGTACAGGATTTATGTTATTTATATGCAGTCACATACTGCTGACATAATAACAGTGCTGCCCACAAGACTGGAAAAGCCATGCTGTCTGATCTTGGAACATGCTTTCACTCTAATGGAGCCTTCATTACTCACATCACTGGATAAAGTGACTTTAGAGTTCAATTTGGGCTCCATTTTTCTTTTACAGAGAAAAAGAAATCCCACCAAGCCTTTTCCCCACTCGCAGCCCATGGTGCCACAGTCCTAATGTCCCTGCACACCCCTACTGTGCCCTGACCAATGCTCACAACACCTCCGTGGCTGAACACTGCTTAAACAGACAGCCCAGGTCAACCCGGACTGATCCAGTCCAGGTAGGTCAAAGGGATATATTCCAGTGGAGAGTAAGTGATGTGTGTATGTGTGCAGAACTAGTAAAAATGGGTTAAGTAGTAAAAGTCTCTTAAGTGTTAAAAACTATTCATAGCCTCAAGAATAGAGGGCCTCTAAAGTCAGTACCATGAGCTTGTTGACTTATGTCCATTCGGGTTTTCCATGCAATGGTGTGGAAAAACCCAAACAAACTTTTAGCCAACCTAATACTTCTGCTCTAGCACAGTTTCTGAGTCATCATTGTTGTTGTTCAGTTGCTAAGTCATGTCTGACTCTTTGAAACCTCATGGACTGCAGCATGCCAGGCTTCCCTCTCCTTCATCATCTTCTGCAATTAGTTCAGATTCATGTCCAGTGAGTGGGTAATGCTATCTATCCATCTCATCCTCTGCTGACCCCTTCTCCTTTGGCCTTCAATCTCTCCCAGCATCAGGGACTTTTTCATTGAGTTGACTCTTTGCATCAGGTGTCTGAATGCATCATCAAAAGAATATCATGAACGACAAGAGGACATAGGATTCTTAAGTGTGGTCGAAAGTATATTTTGTTTCTCATTAGACAGGGTAAATATCAATAACCTCAGATATACCTCTTGATGAAAGTGAAAGAGGAGAGTGAAAAAGTTGGCTTAAAACTCAACATTCAGAAGACTAAGATCATGGCATCTGGTCCCATCACTTCATGGCAAATAGATGGGGAAACAGTGACTAACTTTATTTTTCTGGGCTCCAAAAGCACTGCAGATGGTGATTGCAGCCATGAAATTAAAAGATGCTTACTCCTTGGAAGAAAAGCTATGACCAACCTAGACAGCATATTAAAAAACAGAGACATTATTTTGCCAACAAAGGTCCGTCTAGTCAAGGCTATGGTTTTTCCAGTGGTCATGTATGGATGTGAGAGTTGGACTATAAAGAAAGCTGAGCGCCAAAGAATTGATGCTTTTGAACTGTGGTGTTGGAGAAGACTCTTGAGAATCCTTTGGACTGCAAGGAGATCCAACCAGTCTATCCTAAAAGAGATCAGTCCTGGGTGTTCATTGGAAGAACTGATGCTGAAGCTGAAACTCCAATACTTCGGCCACCTGATGCGGAGAGCTGACTCATTTGAAAAGACCCTAATGCTGGGAAAGATTGAGGGCAGGAGGAGAAGGGGATGAGAGAGGATGAGATGGTTGGATGGCATCACTGACTTGATGGACATGTGTTTGGGTGGACTCCGGGAGTTGGTGATGGACAGGGAGGCCTGGAGTGCTGCGCTTCATGGGGTCACAAAGAGTCGGACACGACTGAGCAACTGAACTGACTGAGACAGGATAAATGGGTCCTATAAGTTAAGCTGTGCTAAAAAAAAAAAAATTCACTTTTTCTGAACACATTCTAATATTAATCCCAAATTCTTACTCTTTTTTCAACCAGAAATTTCTTATATAAGTCCTTTAGGTAAAGCTTTTAGAGTTGTTGTTGTTAGCCCAGGATCTGTTCATGGACTTCAGGAAGTCCACGAATCTGTTAAACTTGGAGAGAAAAAAAAAAAAAAACAACGTAAGCCTATGTGATGTTTTCTGGCAAGAAAGTTCACAAGGTTCACCAGAGGCACCCAAATAATTAAGAACTGTTTAGATACGGTGCCAGATCCTAAGCTTTCATATAGCAGCTAAATCCTGGAGAAGTTATAATGATTTACAAACGTATTTAGCAGAAAGATGCTTTTTTAAGTGAAATCTTGGGCAGAATCCCAGTATATGAAATGGATGAAAACAGACCCATCCAAGTTGAAGAAGAGTGATTCCCACTACCCACTACAGCTATCTTCTTCTTTTATTTATTCATTTATATTAATATTTGGCTGTGCTGGGTCTTAGCTGCCATGCACGGGCTTTCTCCAGTTTCAGTGAATGGGGGCAACTCTCTTGTTGTGCTCCGGCTTGTCATTGCAATGGCTCCTCTTGGTTCAGAGCTCGGGCTCTAGGGTGCTCGGGCTCAGTAGTTGCGATGCATGGGCCTAGTGCCCTGTGGCATGTCAGATCTTCCTGGACCAGGGATCGAACCCATGTCCCCTGCATTGGCAGGTGGGTTCATTTTTTTTTCCAGTAGATTTCTTTTCATTTATTTTTATTAGTTGGAGGCTAATTACTTCACAGTATTGTAGTGGTTTTTGTCATACATTGACATGAATCAGCCATGGATTTACATGTATTCCCCATCCCGATCCCCCCTCCCACCTCCCTCTCCACCTGATTCCTCTGGGTCTTCCCAGTGCACCAGACCCGAGCACTTGTCTCATGCATCCAGCCTGGGCTGGTGATCTGTTTCACCCTAGATAATATGCATGTTTCGATGCTGTTCTCTCGAAACATCCCACCCTCGCCTTCTCTCACAGAGTCCACAAGTCTGTTCTGTACATCTGTGTCTCTTTTTCTGTTTTGCACATAGGGTTATCATTACCATCTTTCTAAATTCCATATATATGCGTTAGTATACTGTAATGGTCTTTATCTTTCTGACTTACTTCACTCTGTATAATGGGCTCCAGTCTCATCCATCTCACTAGAACTGATTCAAATGAATTCTTTTTAATGGCTGAGTAATATTCCATGGTGTATATGTACCACAGCTTCCTCATCCATTCGTCCGCTGATGGGCATCTAGGTTGCTTCCATGTCCTGGCTATGATAAACAGTGCTGCGATGAACATTGGGGTGCACGTGTCTCTTTCAGATCTGGTTTCCTCGGTATGTATGCCCAGAAGTGGGATTGCTGGGTCATATGGCAGTTCTATTTCCAGCTTTTTAAGAAATCTCCACACTGTTTTCCATAGCGGCTGTACCAGTTTGCATTCCCACCAACAGTGTAAGGGGTTTTCCTTTTCTCCACACCCTCTCCAGCATTTATTGCTTGTAGACTTTTGGATAGCAGCCATCCTGACTGGCGTGTCATGGTACCTCATTGTGGTTTTGATTTGCATTTCTCTGATAATGAGTGATGTTGAGCATCTTTTCATGTGTTTGTTAGCCATCTGTATGTCTTCCTTGGAGAAATATCTGTTTAGTTCTTTGGCCCATTTTTTGATTGGGTCATTTATTTTTCTGGAGTTGAGCTGTAGGAGTTGCTTGTATATTTTTGAGATTAATCCTTTGTCTGTTGCTTCATTTGCTATTATTTTCTCCCAATCTGAGGGCTGTCTTTTCACCGGCAGGTGGATTCTTATCCTCTGGACCACCAGGAAGTCCCACCCATTTTCTTCTCTCCTCCTTCACTGTGACCTCTGAGGCACTTTCTTGGAATCACAGGATTCTGTACACTCAGTATGAAAACCACCATGCTAGTGTGCTAACACATACTAGAAATAGCACCCCCCCAAAATAATGCCTTTTAGAAGTGGAATGATGGAAATTCTGTAAATTCCTGAATATATTCCATTTCATAAAATTAAGTATCCTATGTCTTTGTGCCTGAGTTGCTTCATCTATAAAGTATGAGACTTGGATCTGAAATTTAAAAAGCTCTTTCATCAATAAGTTTATATACATATATATGTGTATATATATACACATTTAATATACATATATATTTTATAGACACACATATTTAGTACTTTATGACTTAGACTTGAGATTTTAAGAAGTACCTTCATGTTTTTCTCCAATTAATGATAGCCTTCACTTATTCTGAACAACTTATTTACCAAAGAAATTTGACTTCAGATTTTCTTGATACCCCTTTCTATAGTGATGGCAACTTAAATTGATTATTCAGTAAATTTTTTGTTTAACATAAATTGCACTGTATTTGTATATTATAAAGTGGTAGTTTTGAAGTTTTATTTATATACTTATATTTTTTACTGTGCTGGGTCTTCGTTGCTGCACTGGGGTGTTTTCTAGTTGTGGCCAGTGGAGGCTACTGTTTGTGGCAGTGTGACGTCTTGTTGTGTGGCTTCTCTCCCTGCGGTGGCGTCTCTTGTTGCAGAGTATGGACGTTAGGGTGCATAGGCTCGACAGCTGCAGCTCACAGGCCCTAGAGCACAGGCACAGTAGTTGTGGCGTACAGGCGTAGCTATTCTGCCACATGTGGGATCTTTCCAGATCAGGGTTCAAACCTGTGTCCCCTGCACTGACAGCTGGATTCTTAACCACTGGGCCCCCAGGGAAGTCCCATGTAATGATCATTTTAAAAGACAATTGCTTTAGTGCTTTCAGGGCCTCTGTTCATTACATACCTTTAAAATTTTCTATTCATTAAATTTTCGCTATTAACAGATATACATCGGAATTTTAAGAGGTTTTCTTTGACTTCAGTTGAGAAAATTGCAAATATATTAATTCATAAACTATACTGTATAATTGAAATATTTTAATTTACATAAATAGCACTAAATACAGCACATGACATATAGTAATTGTTTAACGCTCTGTCTGATGAAGGACAGAGCAGGTGACACTGAAGGTTTTTAAAGACGCATCTTTTAGAATTTTATCTGCATTTTAAAAGAGAATTTTAGAAGCAGTGTTGAAAATGAAGTGGAGTGGAAAATATTCCAAAATCTTGGAGGAAAGAAGGAAGGAAGGAAAGAATAGAGGAGGAAAAATAAGGAAAAGAAGAACAAAGCAGGTTTGAAAAAGAGACAGGACAAGAGTTGTCATTTGAGTCCCAAAAAGACAGGAGAGTAAGATTGGGGCAAGAGTTATATTTAAAGAAATAATGATAAAAGTCTCAAAACCTGATGAAAGACATCAAGCCACAGAATCACAAAAAAATAACTTCTAAGCAGCACAAATTCAAAGGTCGCTCTATATTATAATAAAACTTTAGAAAACCAAATACAGGAAATCTGAAGACTAGGGAATGATATCTTCAGTGTACTAATGTGCTAAAAGAACTACTGTCCTCATATAGAAAGATACATGTGAATGTATGGCTGAGTCACTCTGCTCTGCACCTGAAACTATTGCAACATTATTAATCACTATACTCCAATA